GAGTCAGAAGATGAGCTGCTGGATTTCAAAATAAAAGAATATGGATTTGAGTATGAATTTGTCACTACATGAGATTCTAACTGTACATGTCAAATACTCAGCCACAATATAGTTAATGGTCCTTTAAAATATTGTCTTATATGAACTAGTTAATGGCAATAACAGTAACAATAAAAGAAAGACGTATAATATGAAGTTATTATTGATGAAAATGCTATCCCTATAACAAATGGTTACATGATAATTTGAATGACACAAATGTGATCTGTAACTGAACCAATATTCTCCATCAATAAACAGTGTAGGAAGATCTACCATCTACTGTAGTCTCTGTCTGACAACCCACAGACAGGGCTTCTTAAATTACTCTGCAGTTCAGTTCCCTCCGTGCCTTCACTGAAAGCACCAGTCAATTTCCACCTCATAGACTGTTTACCTCCAACCCTCCCCTCCTCTCAATGCATGGACAAGCTCAGAATGTTGACCTCCCTTCTGTGCAGATAATTGGCTGTCAGCTGCCCTCTGTAACGTCACGGCATGAAGGAAAACTATAGAATGATGTACAGCCAGTCTGTCAGTGTCAGCCACCTGCCGGAGTCACTACCCACACTCAGCACCACTGCATGTAACATCCAGACCACTGTTCAACGTTTAAGTTGAACTAATTATGGTTCCGTTCAGCCTTTGTATAGTGATGGACCATTAAATGATCAACCGTTAAAGAAGACAGCCTTTGAAAATAATAAGACTCATTGTTCATTTATTGTGCTCGGAAGCAGCAGAGCGGATGAAATATTCTGTCGTTTCTGTCAGGCTGCACGATGCATTATAAATGCTCTGTTTGCCAATATATCCTTAGCCTTCATAAAATGTGCTGTAATGCAGGAATACAATCTCTACCACTTAATGCCTCACAAAACAAACACTGGTTGTGAAGTGGAGTTAATGCCTTTGATGATTATTTCATGAGTCAGTTTGAATAGTGCTCCACCAGTTATTCCAGGTCTCCTGCTTCATCCGTGTAGGAGAACTCTATCTCCCTCCCTTTCCCTCCCTTAATCACTTGATGCAAATGATTCCTTCTCCAGTTGACAAGTATCATAAGCCTCCTACACCATGATGAAAATGAGCTGTCAGGTCAATACCCAGCCCAGCCACAGAGTGATGTATTCATTTAATTTCAGAGTAATGGCTCGCAGGACAAGGGCATCTCCACTGGCCAACTCTGTCCATCCACACCCTGTCTTTCTGTTTGAGGTGCATATATTCTGCACATATTGTTCAAGTTACTATTACACTGCATACAACTCCAGAGGCTTCCAAAAAAAAACAAAAAACATTCTATGTATTTAAGTCTATGGGAAAATATTCTTTTAATTTTTTTGTTGCTTTAAGGGTCTTGATCTTTGTTTCAAGGTTCTTTTCAATGAAATATTGATATAATAAATGTAAAAAAAAAGGAAAAACTTAATACCTAAAAAAATATAATTTATAACAGCAACAATACAAAACTAGCATTAACATAATGTTATTCTCAAATTGTAAAAGTCATAACTGCCAGGGTGCAGTACCATGGCTGCTTTTTCTGATCTTCCCTTAACATATATTACAATTCTTACATTAGTTTCATGTTTTTACTTTTTGCTATTGTTTATTATGTGACAAGCCAGCGCTCAACCTTTAATACCTGCAGTGACACGTGCTGCATATCCTCCAACACAGCTCCCTCTACTGCTTTTCTAACGCCTGGTCATTGGACAAATATTTCATCCTACACACTGATGTGTTAGGTTGAGTTTTTATTAGTTTTCCTTAGTTTCTTGGATACATTTGCTGCCCCACAGTCTGAACTGATATTCTGTGCAGTAGGTCCATTCTCCCTTTACATAAATATGCATGAGAGCTGTTGAGCTCTGGTATTGAATGGGGTTGATGTGTATGTGTGTGTGTATAAGTGGTTGTGTTCGTGTATAGGAATGTACTGCGGAAGTCTTAGTCAAGTTGGAAATATGGATTAGAGCAGTGTGTTTACCACATGGAGTGTATTGTGTGTGTTTTTTCTAGAGAAAGAATTCTGTAATAACCTTTCATTAAAACTGTAGCCTCATCTTTTGGCCAAAGCAGTGCTCTTCTGTCTTATGTGGCTGTGCTGAGGGGCAACGATGTCCACCGTTGGGGTCACTTTCTGCTTCAGGGTAGCAGAAATGTCATGACTGTTTGCCTCCGGCTCTAGGCCTCACAGGTGGACCTGGGGTTCACATGAGGCCAAAACTATAGCTACCTCTGAGCCCTGCAGCTGAACAACAAAGTGAAGAAAGACATGGAGGGAAATGCTACATACAGTACATCTTTGCTTTAGTGTTTGGTTGGACAAACTGAGGCCAGTTTGTACCATGATCAGAGCACACAGCCTCCTGCATTGTTCTGCTTATCTTGTCAAGAACTAGCAATTTTAATAGTCCCACTAGAATTTCCAAAGTGTGAGACCAATAAAGTTCAAATTAATTATTATTATTATTGTATGATTTTAATTAAGACAACTCCAACAATACAAAACATCATGTGTTTTCAGATTTCATGATTTTTTTTTTTCTCTGTTCAACTGTCACATTGACCTCATGTCTTCTTTGCCAGTTATTTTGAGCTGGAGAGCAGCGGAGTGAGAGAAGAGATTCGCTACCACTACCGCTTCAAAGGCAAACCACGATCTGAGTCTTTCCCGTACCGACTGGCAGATGGACAGTGGCACAAGATCGCTCTGACCATCAGTGCGTCCCACCTTCTGCTTCATGTCGATTGTAACAGGTAGGATCACGTCTTCCTGTGAGAGTTTATGAACCTTTAGTTTGACAGTGTTTAACATTACCCCACAGTATGCCCGGCAGTTAAAGGAAGGCTGTATTTTATATAGAATATTTGCTGCTAACGGAGTGGAAAGTAAGAATGATATAATCGCCTCATCGATTGGGCAATGAGGGCCCTTTTCTAAAGGATCACTCAGTCAGAGCTGATCAATAAACATGCTACTCAGCTGTGATGGTCCTTCTCAAGTCCTGAGAGCCAGGAAGGAATCACTCGGCCTCCCAGAGTGTAGCTTCTGGACAGACGCTGTGAGATTAGGAAATATCTTTGGAGAGGATGCCATGCTCTACCATTGTGTGAGAAAATGTCTGATGATGCACAGTGGAGTTGGATTCCTGCATTGATTCTTCCCAGATGTGTTCTCACACAGTGCTGATGACTTGTTGATTAACAGTCAATGGTTTTGTCTTGATAGACTGTATGGCAGATTAAATGGCGGAATAAATAAGATTATCTGGGGCAGAGATCAATATGTATTCCAATGAGGTACATTTATTTGTGGTTGAGCTTTATATATGTATGTGTTAATTATTTCAGTTTGAAATATATGAAACTGGTGCAGAGCAGGTTATGGATTGACAAATGTATTGTTTTTGAATATCTAATCTAAATTAGTCGAAATGTTTTTTACACTTAGGTCAAATCTGTGTTTAAATATTAGTTTTTGGTCACTAAATATAGGAACTGCATCATATAACAGCAATCTTGTCCAACAAACAAACAAACAAATGAACAAGGCTTTAAGGCTCAGTTAAGCTAGTTCTACTTTTTTGGATATTGAAAAGAACATGTTTTGAATTACTGCCACTTGTGATTATCAACAAAGAAAAAACCCCACAAAAATGACGTAGCCCTCCTCCCCTACAACTCCCCCCGCTCTGACACATGGCACCATATTTTTATTTGATTTTTTTAAATTAAAAATTAAGTAATAAAGTGATTTTACTGCTTTTTAAACTTTGTATCAGTAACAATTTAATTATATATAATTTATAAAAATATTTTAAGATTGGAAGAGTAGCCTGAGGTATTGATGTGATTGTATTTCTTTGAAATATTTTCATTTGTTATTATATTTATCCTATTTAGAAAATAATATACCCACAGTCCTCTGGTCTAATTCAAAACATTTAGAATCACTAGATATAGAAGATTTATTTCACCCTGGTCACATGATAAAAGCGCTATCCTTGGACTAAATTTTGAGGAGAAAATGTTCTATGAAAAAAAAACTGCACTGTAAAAACAATGATTTAGCAGTCACTGAGTAACTGTGTTAAAGATTTAAAACATTGACTTTCGACAGTGTGAATGTTGAACTGAAGGCTGTTGAAAGAACCCTTATTGAACAATTCAAATTCACCTGAAACGTGTTTTCTATTCCGTTGATTTCTCCAGAACTACTCTGAACTAAAGAATGTGACTTTGATGACAACTTTGTACAGAGTAGGGGACAAATACCAGGGAAGTAGAAAGTGAATATAATATTTCTGCTTCATTTCACACCACTCAAGTAGTGAGAATAATTTATCCATTAATAGTCAACTGACAGACTCCCAGTCCTGTTCCAACCTTCATCATTTGAAAAAAAAAAACTGCGAAGAATGCTGCGAGTTAGCTCTGTGACCATTTTCTGCTGTTAATTCTTTTCCAATTTGTATCCAGTCCATTGCTCGGCCACACAGAAAGACAACCAACCAATAAGAGTCAAATTTATACACACCATCAATTTAGTCAAAAAGGTAAAAAAATTCAAACTGAAATCTCCCAAGTTCTTAATGTACATGTGTTTGTTAGCTGTCCTGCTGATCAACTGTCATACAACAACAATATAACTGACCATAATTGGTTCTTACCAGTCCCTGTTCCAAATTTTAACAACTATGAAGCTTTCACGCACTCTCAGAAGTCTCCTCAATAACAGATCACAGATGTTCAGGTCCTGTCTGTTAGTAAATCTTTATAACAATGTAAGATTTTCAGGTTATCACATCGGCTGCTGTACTGTACCCGTAAATCTGTGTCACTCCGTGCCGTAACTCCTCTCTTCTCTGATGTTCAGTTTATTGAGCTCATTTAATTGTAGAGATACAGTATAAATATCCATCTTTAAATTTAATCTAACACATCAGAGAATGATTTTGTACAAACTCACTGTGTTCATTTGCTGATTTAGTCAGAAGCCTCCTGATAATTTGCACCTTCAATCCCTTTATTAAAGAAAATAGGAAATATTATGCAAAACTTATTTCACAGGAAATAAAACACTGATGCCATTTTCCCAAGGAACTAAACCAATTAGTATTTCCAGTGGTGCTGATGCTTAAATTGATTTGTCACCTGCACGATTAAACGTTTACTAACAGTCAAACTCACTGACGTCCAACTCCAAGCACTTCTCTGTGTAGAACGTCACAACTCCTCTGTCCACAGGAAACATGATTTTCCACTTTTCTCCACATTATTTCCACTTTTGCTTCAACATCATTCAAGATAGAAGATCTGATATGTGGTGAGAGAGAGAGAGAGAGAGAGAGAGAGATATATGCTGCAGTCCATTCCCTGATGTGGAGAGAATGACTTTCTCTGTCCTCTGTCTCCTCCGTCTGCCATTGTATTAAACGCGTGTCATTTAAACCCTTCCTCAGACACATTTGTGTGCTATCACCTGCAGTGTTGTCACTGCTGAGCTCAGACAAGGTCACAGTCATATACTGCCGTGTGTGTAATTGCATTTCTTAAATTTTCTTAATTGAATTAATGGCAGACGCCCAGTGCATGTGCCCTCGTCACCAGGAGTCAGCTCTTTGTTTTAAACTGAGAAACTAATTGCAGCGGTGACATTGGCCGAGCCACACCGCTACGTGTCCGCCACTCACAGAAGGTCATTTCATGTGCAAGCTGGAAGGTGTTTCTCAGGGGTCTCTGCTGTTCTCAGCTCTGCTCATGCCCTACATATCCTTACAGTATATGTATGTGTTGAGCTGGCTGAGCCATGAAAGGATGTAGGCAGACGTACTGTACGTATATGATGAAGGGAAAAAAAAAAGACCATATGGATGAAAGAAAAATGAAGGAGCTGAAACGTGCAGCCGGAAACAGGACAGTCTGCTGTCATTATGATTGACACTAACAACTATTTTACAGTTTAGAACAAGCTGCTAAACTTCATGGCAAGGAGACCAGCGTGCATTGTCTCACATGATGTGTTGGCTGTGAGACGAACACGTGCCGGGTGAAATTAAATATGGCAACGGGCTTCAGCATAAAGAAGTGAGACGATTTGCTGTTTGACTTTGAGCTGAAGCAGGGACAGAGTATCCTGCTGCCAAAGAACAGCATGACCATTTGAATGAGAGGTAAATTAGGACCTTTTTGTTTGGTATTTGATGCAGAGTTTCAGAAATGACTCACTAATGTAGCCCTGAAGGGAGAGGAAACAACAGTGATTTGTGTCTTTGCTTAAAAATTGGAGCATGTTAGTGAGTCAGTGGAGAGGAGACGGTGGCCGGGATCAGCTCAGCTGCACTGTTGTAGTATTTGCAAACATGTAATTGGGTTTATGACCTGTTTCTAAAAATTAAAAACCAAGGGAAGGTGACAGCTCCCACGATTGGTTAGTGGTAGAATATGAAGATAACAAATATATTAATGGCACAGCATGTCAATTCTTCCAATGCGAGAAAATGGAGAATTATTATCTGTAAACAAAAGCAGAGAACAATGAAATGAACACCGACGGCTGGTGTTTTTGAAGTTGATTTGACCGAAATGCTTTAAAAATCACCAACATTTAAATCCAGCTTATGAAATTGTTTTTCCACTCAGAGACGTGACAAGAAAAATGGCTTTGCCTTCTGTTTCTCATCTGTTGGTAATTAGTGAGGCCTGATCAACATCCTCTGTTCACTCAGACGACAGCAGCTAAAACATTAACAAACACACAACACGTTTGGGATGAGATAAATGCAGTCTCTCTCGCTCTCTCTCTCTCTCTATCTATCTATCTATCTAACAAACACAGACATATATATGTACTGTATATATTCAAGAATAATAAGTACATTTCAAATCTACATGTGCAGTGACCACTGAGAAATGTTCACAACAAGACAAAGTAAAACGTTACAGTACAAATTAAAAAGTCAGGATGTCGATGTCTGTTGTTGTTGTCATCTGTTATTAAATATAGCTGATTAAAAAGTTATTATGACATATACATATTTTAGCAGCGTATGCTGGTGTGTTGGTTTTTACAATTATATCACTGTTTACATTTAATTCATGTTCATTTCAGCACGTATTAGTAGCTATTTATACCAGTGCTGCTTTTCACTCCAGGATTATTAAGATCTCAAGATAAAACAAATAATTAATTATAAAGTTTATCTCTTAACAGTTATTTAGTTAGCAGTAGCTAATATCCAATTGAAGCCACTAAGATAAAATACAGTTGCTGATTAATGCACACTGTTGAATGCAGCATCAATGTTCATTAAGAGACATTGTCCACCTTGTTCTTAGTCTCACCACTCGTCGTTTTAGATGATCAATATCAAGATCTAATATTAGCTTAACTGACATTTGACAATAAACTCTGGTCTTATATGTGTAATGCTGATGGAGTCGGTCAATAAAACTCTGGTCTTCAACTGTGTCTGTGGACAAATGATTCACAGGTGATTCCTCGTTAACATTGGTTAACAATGTATTACTGATGAGGAACAGCAGCTTTGGGGAAGTGGTGGCACTAAGATTAAGTTGGAGCTCTTGGAAAAGCTTTATTCTATTTACTGTATTTACCATTCTTTACTCTGGAGATAACTGTTTGGGAGAACGCGGGTGTCACAGCTATGTGGTTTTTCAGTCTCAATTGGATGCAGTTGAATAACAGTTGCACCTCATTTACAAGTTTCTACAGTAACGTGACAGTAGAAAGCTTA